ACTTTAACCATAAATATGGTGGGTAACAATGAGATGTGATGCTTGCCATAACCAGGAACTGATAGTAGACTTAAACATGAAAAGGCCTGTTCCCCCAAAACTGGGTTTGTTATCCATGATTGTGAAGCATTGATGATATAGTTTGCACAAAAACATCCAAAGTACTTGTTGTGTAACAATGGAGTCTCCAGACTGTGAAAGTTAAAACAGTATTTCCGTGCAAAATTGTTACCTCCCTGTTGAGGAAGCTCGGGATATCCCATGACATTCCACAAGATACTCCAGGGAGGAAGAGAAATGTGTTTGCTAGATCTGCAATGAGCAAAACAGCATTGAGAGAGCATTGGGTAATAGTTTCAGGGATGAAAGCCTAATTATGTTTTATTTAAGAACTACCTTCAATTTAATATCAAGATATGAAATACATTATTATTTTACATTAAAATAAATACTTGATAAATTCTAATAGGAGGGATTGTTTACAGTTTATCAGCCACCAGATAAAATATTATTCCTTGATTAGAAAGCCTTTAGTGCATTTTTTTGACTGCCCGTGAGATTCGCATTCTAAACCCCTGGAACAATGGTGCTAACAGCTGATGGTAGAAACCTTGTCAAAATTCAAACTTTATTTTAAATTTCATACTGCATTTGTGCATACTACATACTTTCATTTGTCACAAAGCTGAAGGTTGGAAACTAAACCTGGAAGAAAGATTTAATGGCAGTAAATTAGATATTAGAAAATACCTTTCTAAATAGCTTCTTATCCTATTTTATCCAGAAAAAATATCTTATGTATGAACTATTTGAGTGTATGAGAAAAGTATTTTCATTTACAAATCTCAAATATATACACATATTTTACTTATGTATATATACTGTATACATACGGGCTGAGTGCAGAATTTAACTGATAGTTAAACTATGTATAGATAATTTAGCTTGTGCATGGTTGTATTAGACCAACTATATGGGTTCAAAGCAAATGCTGATGGAAATCAAAGTATTATCCTGCCTTTATTATAATTCATTAAAATGCAATTAAATAAATATGAATTTATTCAAGGTATGCTGCTGTATGTAGAAAGACAATCGTGCCCTCAAGGAACCAGCTTTTCTAATGCTAATTCTTCTTTGAGCAATATTTGCAGAATCTCTCTGCTGGCAACAGCATTTCAATTTTAGCTGTCCATTGGATAGAAATGTAAAACTATAGCAGCATCATACAGAATTACCTACAGCAAGGATTTGCATTATATTAAATTACAGATATTATTTTTCACATGTATTTACATAATAACAACACCAATGTGTATTGATACAGTGGATAACTCATCCAATAAACATAGCATTTTTGTGATGTACGTAGCAAAGGTATAGCTACACACGATATATAAATAAAAACATTTTCCAAAATGGTCACATTTTATCAAATACACAGACAAGCACTGCTAATGTTAAAGCATTACACACTAATGGCCTTCTTGACTATTTCTGTTACTTAGACCTAGATAAAAAAGAAAAGATAGATAAGTATTAATTATAATCAAAAGTGTGAATATAAATATAGAATCCTGCAGTGTTATATAAACACAAATATTTTAAATATTGTAGATGTGTAGCAAGTCCTAAAGACCAGTAAGAAAACCTACATTTCTGCAGAGATTTGTAATGCAAAATGTGATGTTCAACAATTAACCTTTTAATCAATTTATCAATTTTCTAAAACAAAAATCGGTGTAGATATTTGCAAGTGGGTTCAAGAGTATACAGCTGCAGCTGTTGCCAGTTAAGTATTCTGTTTAAATAGGTTAAAGGAGACTCTTGGTTAATAGCAGGCTTATTTGGTGTACACAATTAGACTGGTTCAGACCAGTCTTTCAGTTACAGGGAATGCCAAAAAGACACGGTCTTCATTACCTCCACGCTATTCCTATGCTACAGGCACACTGTTTTGCCAACTGCAGCTGAAAATAGCTCTTGTAGCACTATACCCCCTTCTCCTCTGGAATGGTAAAGATTTTCTGTTGGCACAAATCCTTGAGAAGATTTAGGGTTTTGGGGCTTCCACACCCAATGAATGGCCAAGGATTAGGGAGATTGCACCTTTAGTGGCCCATGCCTGCTTATTATAATAGAGGCAGTTGCAAGGAATTTTTGTGGGATGTAAATCAACTATGTAATAAAGTGGGGGAAATACTGTATGTTTATCTGTAATTCTGGATGGGGGTCAACTGCTTTAGGAAATACAGTAATATGCTAATCTTTACTCTTTTATATCTCATTCTACATCCACTGAAAAAAAAAACAGATTTTCTTGATTCTCTTTATTTGCCAATGTTAGATGACATGGCTAGAGATTAAAATTCTAATTTTACAGTGGAAGAATTGACTGATATAACATAAACATTCCCAAACAGTAAAGCATCTGGCCAGAATAGATTTGAGATAGAATTTTAGAAGTTGTACTGTACTGTGTTGTACTGTGCTCCTTTGTTCCTATCTATGACATAGGAGTCAATAAGGGACAGCATATTCCCCAATCACAGTATGAAGCAAATATCTGTCTTCTGCTTAAAAAAGGTAGGGATGAGAAAGATAGATCATCTTACTGCCCATTAAGTTTATTGAACTATGTTTTGAAAAGATTAGCAAAAATACTCTTTATCAGATTAACTAAACATGTATCACTCTTAACACACTCTGATCAGAGAGGATTTGTACCTGGCCTGTTTTCCTTCTCTAATGTGCAGCCGCTGCTGAATATTTTATATGCTGATGATAAGAACACCAAGACTGCTGTCATATTATATGTTTTTTATGTTATATGGTGAAAGAGCATTCGATCAAATCAAATGCAAATAAAGTACATGTTTATATTATTTAAACATTTTTGGTATTGAAAGCTCATTTGTAAAGTGGGTTGAAATGGTATATGTCTGACCAGAAGCCACAATTTTAACTAATTATGACAAGTTTGATCGCCTCTCATTGCACAGGGGCACAAGGTAATATTGTTCTTGATTGTCTTCATTACTCTACAATTGAACAAGATATATCCTTCAGTATCTCCTTTATGTGACAGGTGAAGCCCTTCTTAAGGCACTTTCACACACCTTCAGGCCGTGTATGGAAATTTTGGGTAGAAATACAGTATTTCACTGGTAATCACAAATGTACCCTCAGATCCTGAACTAGCACTCTTTGGTGGTTCAGAGGCATCTCTCAGACTAACAAATCAAGTCTGATGTTCAGAATGGTTGTAGCCAAAAAATGTTCTTAAAGAATGGAATTGTCATTGTACCCTGTTTCAAGAGCTGGCTCAATAAGATGATCTTCACAATTACAATGGAGAGGATTTGTTTCCATAGGACAAGCACTCTGGATCAATTCAAGAGCAATAGTTCTGGTTAGAGATAGGTTATAATAAAAGGAGATGATACAGGAAAGGTACAACAGTGTAACATTTTTGTGTTGTGACTAATTATTTTATAAAATTGAAAATTATAAGCTTTGTTCATTATCTCTGATTGTTTTACACATCTAATCATTCTGTGATAACTTCTGTCAGATTTTGCCTCTATTCTTATCTCAATAAGAAAATAATAAAAAAGCATGAGCATGTTTGACCTTTTTGGTCTTTGGCAGTGTTTTTTTCTTTTTGTTTTAGGGTGTTTTATGTACTGTATTCTGTGTTGTTTTTCATGTTTCTTAATTTTTTTTTTAGTTGTGTTAAAATTTTTGTCTAAATTTTCAAACTTTCTTGAATAAAAGACTTAAAAAATAATGGATAGGGTTTTACAGAGTAAAAAAAGTTAGACAGCTGATATAGTTACTGTACTTAAAAAAGTAACAGTTAAAGAGAAGAAACGACTCTATCCCTAGGACCCATTGAAGCTCTGGGTGTCAGTGAAGGCTGGGTGTCTGGTCATGGAAGTTGCATGGCTCTATACTTTCATTTTTGGAGGACTTAGGTTTACAGTGTCTTGGAGCAGCAGACCCAAGACCATTCAAAAATAATCCAGGCAAAGCTAAACTAAATCACCACACTTATATTGCTGGCAAACCATGAGTTGCATGCTGTGAGTGACAGGATCAAGGTTGGTATGGCACTCACACTAGTGGGGGACCTGTTAAAAGGATAAAGCTCATGCCTTTATAGTATTGTCATGCTGCTTCATTGGCATTGCTAATCAAAATGTTCTTTGTGGAAGAAGAAACATTTCCTTTTTTCAGAATTCTCCTATATTACAGTACAAAAAATGTGCTGAGTAAAAAGCTAAGTGTCACAATTATAGTCCCTCCTCCTTAAGGGTGTCCAGCCCTTTCACTTCAGACTTAATTCTGTGCACCTGACCCTTGTTCCCAGCCCACCTTAAAAGCCAGGCGCTGACGTTCATCCTGGCTCTGCATCTGGTTTCAGCACCGTGCAAGTCCGGGACCTGGAAGCGCCTGGTCCCGTTAAGGTTTTAACCTCTGTTCCTGTTCCTTGTCTGCCGGTTCCGACCCAGTTCGTGTTTTTAATTCCTTTTTTGGATGGATCACCTGGCTATGGCATTTTTGGATTCCCTCTATGGATTACTTTTGGATTGTTTGCCTCGGCCACACCTCCCCCGTGCACCAGCGCACTTTGGACACGCCCCCCCTGTTTTCATCCCCGTATTCCTGCATGACTTTTTCCTAGTGTTTCCCCACTTCTTCGGATTGTCGTCCGCATAGGGTCCGGAAAGAACTGTTTGTTACACTAAGATTAATTAGATCAAAGGTCAATAAAGATCACTTAGAAATTATAAGGTTCCATGCATTTCTCTGAAAGACATTTTCCTTGATGCATACTAAGAACAGAAAATAATGTAACTAAATGTATTATTTACAGTTAGTCTAAGGTGACTCATTGCAGGAGCACTTCTATGTGTAATATTTAGTGTTTTATTAAACACTATTTAGATAAAACATTGTATGCTACATTAATTTATCTGTGTTAATTATATCTACAGATGATGATGAATGCCAAAACACAACACAGATCTGTGGTGAATTTGCAAACTGTACGAATACCCATGGGAGCTATTTCTGCACTTGTACATCAGGGTACAAATCAAAAGGGAAGAAACAGTTTTTGCCCAATGATGGTACCTATTGTACTGGTAAGTATATATTTTTGTGTTTTCCCATTTTTTTATACTGAAATAGTAAATCTCGACATTTTATCTTTACATTTTTTAAGTCTTTAAAGAATGAAGAAGAACTGTAATGGACAAATGTGTGATCCAGGTAGCAAAGCTATCACCTACAAATGACTACATCCTAGTAAGATCTGGTTATAATGATACGTGCGTAACTGCAATATAAAATCATTAAGATATACAATTTATTAATAAATTATTTGGTATTAGTCTAATCCGAAATTTAGAAAGCCCCAACAAATCTCAGAATTATAATTATAACTCTGCTCTAAAATGTTTGAAGTTAAAGTTTAGTAGAGGACTCCTTTGTCTTATATACTATATTTGTACTACATTATGAATATGGTACTATGTATTCTAGTTACAGATGATGTTTTATTGTAGACATTAAAGTTTGTAACCTTAAATTTTATGTAATGAGCATATAAACTTATTATTTTTATTTTTAAGACTATTTTGATCCATTTATGTTAAATGTATTGTTCCTGTGATAAGTTATAATAAAAGGAGATGATACAGGAAATGTACAAAAGTGTAACATGTTTGTGTTGTGACTAATTATTTTATACAATTGAATTTTAATTGCAGATATTGATGAATGTCAGGACCCATCTTCCTGTGGACTATTCTCAAATTGCCACAATACAATTGGATCATTTTATTGTAGCTGCAAAAGAGATTATTTTCCTTCATCTGGAAAGTTACATTTTGAATCCAATGGTAATACACAATGTAGAGGTAAGGAGAAAACTATTTCTAAATTAGCTAAAATATACCTACATTTCTCACAAACAATAAAGAAATAAGACTGACCTGTTTTACAGATCATTTTTCTCTTAATTACTCAGTAAACCTTTTAGGTTCTTCGGAGAACCCTTACTTCTTACATACATACTTCTTACTTCCTACATATACAGTATTTACAATCAGGAAATTCAACTATTGATTTCTGATGTCTACCATTCATGCATGGACTTTCTTAGTACAACATTAGTAATATGCTGCTTATTTTGGTTTATAGAAAAATAGTTTTATCCCATCTATCTGAGTAAAGATCACCCTGAAGACAGATGAGCCCACAATTATTTTAAATAACTAAACTTCATTATAAGGTTAATTTTGTGATGAGATTTAATATATGCAAGGATCTGATAAAATTGGTTGCCTTGTTCAAATAGGTGCATCATGAAAACTGAAAAATGAAATTTGTTATGTAGCTCATGGACAAAGGCATCATTATTGTCCACTAGATTTTATGCCCCAGGATCACACTGCCTGCCTTCTGGGGGAAACTGATATTACTTACGTTGTGCATTCTACCATTGCTGTTTGCACTTTTACTTGGCAGCAAATTTGCCATGTATCCATTTTTACACGTAACATACATAATTACAGGTTTTGTCTGGGCTCAAAAAAATTGAGTGCAAAAATGGGAAATTCAAGACTCCTGGATTGGATGGATCAAATTTAGCTTTTTCTAGATAATTGAAGAAGAATAACTTTGTACATACACCGACAGGTCAATTGTTTTTTCAGTTATATTGGTTTGAGACCACTATGCCCTGTTTCATTCTGCAAGCACAGAAAATATACTTCCATCTTAGACCTAATTTCACTATTACCCACATAAAACCTACTGCAACACAATGAAACTTCCATTATACAAAACAGAGTATCTTGATAAATGTAGTACCTGAGGGAGGATGAATTATTCCTGCTGTTACAGATGTATCGTTGCTTTTGATTTGAAGACATGATTTCTCAAATGTGCACTTTATTCCCATTATCCATAATACATTAATTTGAATCATTTTGCTTTTAAGATATCTTTTACTAAAATAGATTTATACTGACCTTTTCTCTAATGCCATTTTATTCATACTGCACCACATCCTGCACTGTCAGTATGAAAATTAATGTTTTATCTTACTGGATCTAAGAAGATGCATTCCCACTAATTCCTCAAGCAAACCCATCTGCCACAAATTTGTCTGGAATTTAGAATCTCATAATATCAGTTATGGTCAACTAACATTAATTAAAAATAGAAGTTTTTCTCCCAAATGTCTGCTAGAAATAATTGCCTTTTCCCTACAAATCTATGTAGGGGTAGCTTTTACCCCGATGATCAAAAGTCCAGAAAAAAACCTGGAAGAAAGCCAACAGCACATATACAAGCCATATCCTTTGCATTACCATTCCCTGTAGGTGTATTTTAAAACAATCTGTATTTGCATTAATCACACATAGTTGGATGTGACAATTCAATAAAGGATAGTTTAGTTTCCCATGTGTCTCAACTGTTAGCTAGATCTAGTGATTATGAAAAGTAAATGCCAAGAAAACCTACCAAAGGCCCTCATGTTAAACTTTAATGAATGGAATCCTATTTGCAAATGGTTCTGAACATTGAATTATCACCCTTTTATTTTAAGCATAATGTGAAACAAAATGATAAATAGGTAGAAACTCTGCTGAATAGAATCAGCCATCCTGTGTACAGTACTTAGGTTCACTTTGTAATTCATGACTGGATGAAAGCCTGAATTTAACATGGACTAAATCATTTACGATTCCAATAATCAGAATTGGAATCAATATGAATAAAAGGGTTCAAGCTTTTACATTTTACCTGTAAGGAAATGTATTGATGAGAATACAAATGTCATTATGATATAATACAATTATGGTATTGTATAATATTTTAGCTTGCTTATATTGTAAGTTGAAAACAACTGCCCTGTTTTCTAAAACAGAGATTACATACTTTTAAAACAAAATGTAAGCAGTTTTGGAAGAAGCAAGTCACTATATATTTTATTAGTATGAGTTAAGTGTAAGCAAACTAAGGAGAAACAGGAAAAATAAATCAAGATTTAATTAGTTTAAAGAGCTTAGCAGTATGAGGGATTCTGTTCCAAGAAGGTAATTACCCATTGTGGATATAAAAAAAGTGTCACCGCAAGTTTCAGCATGATGAAATGTTTAAGTATAGTTGTCCAAATACAATGGTACTATGAAGTTTTGGAAGATAATGGCAGTCATGTGGTTGTCTTGGTTTCAAAAGGAATCACATTTTAACCAATCACATAGGTTGCAGTTAATAGTTACTGTAATAGGCCAAAGGTTTATGAAGAAAACCAGTTAGCATTATAGGATGTGTTTTGAGAAGCATTTGATGATTAGGTTTAGAAATAAAGTATTGCTACTTTCTGTGAGGTGTCGCATGGCTTGGAGCAGTGAAAGTTTCAAGTCACTTGGTGCAGCAGTTACCATGACACTGGTTACTTGACTATTGCTTAACAAAAATATTTCAGATAGACATTGAGATTTATGCAAAAAAACATTTAACATGTAGAATGATACCTATACAGTCTGGTCATTGTCTTTGTAAATATGCAGTTTTTAAACACATAAAACACATACAGGTATAAGCCTGTACAGTATATAGGTACAGTATGTATCAGATGACATAGCATGAGCATGATTTTATCATAGAAAGTTACAAGATGAAAATCAGAAGCTCCTTTTGCCATTAATATGTATTAATTTTGTAGTTAAGGGGTGTTACCATTACAGGTCAAATATCGACAACAGAGAAAAACAAAATGGCTTCCAGGTAACCATATGGATTTATAGCACAACCCTACTTTTACATCCTGGTATTAGATTATTACAAAACGTTTTGTGTTAATTGTCTTATTAAGGTGGATGCTTATTATGCCCATAATGGTTAATCATTTCACATGCAAAAAACACGCTAGTAACTCTAACTGCTCTTCTTCAAAATCTGTTTGGGTATCAGTTCAGTTTTTCCTCATTTTACTCACTTTTCATTTATTCTATAAAAACAAAACTTCATCTCCTTTTTATTTTTTTTTATTTTTAGTATAGGAATTATTATAGAATCACATTTAATATACATGTAATAGAAAAAATGTGAAATGATTTATGTACAACTAGAAGAAAAACAAAAAAAAAGACATAAACATACCAATTAATTTCTAGCTAGATTTGTATAATTAACAGATCCCTTCAATTTATAATTATATAATAACACACAGAAAGAAACGTTTATAATAAATATTACAATTTAAACTTAGCTTATTTGGAACTGGCCATATTTTCCATAACACTTTATCTCCTTGTTCTTAACATTTTTCAAGCTCTGCCACCACTACCTGTGTTAGCATTTCTCCAGCATTGGTGGCAGGGATGTGCTTGGAATCCATCAAAAGCTGTTTGCAATTTTCTAGTTTCCACAGATTTTGAGTTTCTTTAAAGACCAGGTTTTATCTCATTCAGAAAAAAAAAATATTGGCTTTCACTTATGGTCAGGGATCATTAATTGGGATACTATGCATCCTGAAAGTAAAATATCAATAGATTAATAATATATGTTTTACTTTTAAT